TCCTGGGTTCTCTCCCCGGCTCTGGCAGGGGCGTGGGGGCCAGTGGTCAGAGCAGGGGGGCTGGAGCCAGAGCCGGGGGTTCCCCATTCCTGGCCCCTTGTGCTCCCCCAGTCCCCGGTGGAGGGGGGGGCTCCCCCCAATACTTACAGCTCCCCCTGGGCGCCGACATTTTGGCAGCCGGGGCTCGTCACTTCCGCCCCGGGCGGGGGGTCGCGGGTGCCGGCCCCACGGGAAGAGGGGGGCGTAGGCTGTGCCCCTCGTCGCCCCCTCCCCCACTGCCCGCCCCCAGCGCCCTGATTGGACACAGACAGACCCAATGAGGCCCTCGCTCCCCCCACAGCTCCACTTCCTGCCGAGGCCCAGCCCCCTACCCCCATCCTGGCTGTAGGACAGGCGCCATCTTGACTGTGGGCAGGAGGGTGTAGTCAGAGAGGCGCCATCTTGACTGTGGGCAGGGAGGGGTGTAGTCAGAGAGGCGCCATCTTGACTGTGGGCGGCGAAGGTGTAATGAGAGGGGTGCCATCTTGAGTGTGGGCAAGCGGGTGTGTGGCGGGCAAGGAGCCATCTTTACTGTGGGCAAAAAGGGGCAGAGGGGAGGCAACATCTTTACTGTGGGCAGGGAAGTAAAACATTCCAAGAGGCTCCCTTGGAGGTGCCCTTGTGGGCCACAGGAGGGACAGGCAGAGAGGCGCCATCTTGCCTGTGGGCAAAGAGGGGAGCGACCCAGTGCCCCAGTCCTCACCCCTCTGAGCCAGGCAGTCCCTGCCCTGGGGCCGGATGGGAGCCGGTGCCCCCTAGAGGGGAAAGGCCCTGATCCCCAGTCCCTGCCCCCTGAACCAACCGCCCCCTTCCCCCCATCGTCTGAAGACAGGCACAGACATTGTATTCACATCTCGTTTATCTCGCGAGGGGCTGGGGTGTTCGGGGAGGGGCGGGACCCCCGTCCGCACCCAGGCAAGTCACTAAGGTCTCTGCTGCGCCCGCCAGGGGCCACCTGGGGTAACCTTTTCAAAATGCACCCCCTCTGTGGCCCTGCCCCCTGGCCAGGCCGGAAGCCAGAGCTGGTCAGTGGTAAGAGCTGCTCAGGGAGCCCAGGTCACCGTGGGGAGCCCCAGACCCTCCACCTGCCCTGGATGAGGAGTTGGGGTGCCAGACCCCCACCCGGGGCATGGCTTCCCTAGGGGTCAAAGGTCACCTCCCCCAGGGGGCTTGTGGATTCTGTCCCTCAGGGCTCCTGGGAGGGCATCCCTGGGAGTCTGCGGGGCAGGCAGGGGCCCCAGCTCGGGCCCCAAGGGTGTGGCGCAGCTGGTGGCTCTGCAGGCAGCGCAGCTGGGCGTAGGCCTTGTGGCAGAGCAGGCAGCCGTGCACCTGCTGGTGGCCCAGCGGGTCACTGGACTCACGGAAAGCTTTCCCGCAGGCCACGCAATGGTAGCGCTGCTCCCCGGTGCGGATCCGCTAGTGCCGCTCCAGGTGCCGGAAGCTTTTGCTGCACAGGTGGCAGCGGAAGGGCTGCTGCCCGGTGCGGATCAGATGGTGGCGCTGCAGGCCCGAGACCTGGGAGAAGGGCTTGGCGCAGACGCTGCACTCCAGCTCCTCCTGTGGCAGTGCCTGGCAGCGGTGCCCTGCCTGAACCATGACAAGAGGAGGAAGAGGCCTGGCCCCAGTGCCAGCCCCCCGCTGCAGCCCACCCTCCCCGAGGTGGTGGTGCTGCTGCTGCACCCGGGCATCATGCAGGCGCTTGAAACTCTCATGGCAGAGCGGGTTTAACACCGACAGACCCCGGTCGTCGGCGGGTGGGATCGAACCTAGGACCTTGCTTAGTGCATGAGCCTCTACTGCAGAGGTAGCCAACCTGTGGCTCTGGAGCCACATGCGGCTCTTCAGAAGTTAATAAGCAGCTCCTTGTATAGGCACCGACTCCGGGGCTGGAGCTACAGGCGCCAACTTTCCAGTGTGCCGGGGGGGTGCTCACTGCTCAACCCCTGGCTCTGCCACAGGCCCTGCCCCCACTCCACCCCTTCCTGCCCCCTCCCCTGAGCCTGCCGTGCCCTCGCTCCTCCCTCCCCTCCCCACCCCCCAGCTTCCTGTACGCCAAGAAACAGCTGATCGGGAGATGCGGAGAGGGTGGCGCTGATCAGCGGGTGGGCGGGAGGCGCTGGGAGCAGGGGGGGAGCTGATGGGGGGCTGCTGACGTATTTCTATGGCTCTTTGGCAATGTACATTGGTAAATTCCGGCTCCTTCTCAGGCTCAAGTTGGCCACCTCTGCTCTACTGCATGAGCTAAAAGCCAACTGGCCGTTAGCTAAGGCTGTAGAGGAAACTCTTTAATCTCTCTCTAGTTGGTCTCGGTGCCACTAGATGGGACAGAACCCCACACCCAGGAGGTGTGTGGGTTACACGGGCACTGGTAGGACCTCTCGCCCGTGTGCAGCCGTTGGCGCGTCAGCAGGTCACTGGCGTTATGGAAGGTCTGGGGGCAGGCGAAGGGCCTGGCGCCCATGTGGATCCCGGCATGTTTGCGCAGGTTGGAGGGGTTCCTGAAGCATTTCTTGCGTTGGCCGTGCTGGTGGAGATGCTGCCCGGCTGGGCCCAGCTTGAGGTGCTGGGGGCCGTGGGAATCCAGCCCCGCCGTGTTCTCGAAGCACCAGCCACAGAAGGAGCAGTGGAAGCCAGGCATTGCCACCGGTGGGAAAGCGGGATTTCTGCCGGACGCTGATGCCACAGATGTCGCAGCTAAAGGGCCGCCGGCCGTGTGGATGTTCTTGTGGCGCTGCCGGTTGGACGGGTCGGAGAAGGCCCGGCCGCATGACTCGCACTTGTAGCACCGTGCCTCACTGCCCCATCCCTGCCGACAGGGTCCGGTCAATGCCAGCTTTGCCACAGAGAGCACCGGGGGCCTCACCTGCCCTGTCCCGGGGCCACGCCATGGGGCGGACGTTATTCCCCTGCCACAGAGAGAACACCAGAGTCAGGAGTCATTTACCATCCGCCACAGCGACCAGTACGGGAACTGATCGTTAACAGTATTAATTAACCGCTGATAACGAACCACCAATAAATGATACATTGATATTAATAGTTATTAATACATGACACATTGCTCTTCATCAGCCTTATCATGGATCAATGACACTCTGAGCTGGCCACTAATAATCAATGATCAATAGATAATACAGTGCTATTAATCATTTTTATAATCGATGAGTAAAGGTATTGATTACTCACTAAATTGATGAATCGCTAATAATAAAGCACTGATAAATATATAGATATTAATAATGATTAATAAACAATACATTGCTACTGATAAGGACAATAAATAATACATTGCTATTAGTCAATATTATTATTGATTAATAAAGGTATTGATTAGTTGCTAATTACATACCATCAATTCTATCTTTATTAACCATTATTATAATTTATAGCAAACTGATTAGTTACTAATAACTAACAATTAAGATAACTTTATTGTTCCCTATTGTAACCAATCAATGAAGGTACACATTAGTTACAAATAATTAACCATTAATACAACTTTTTCACTCATTGTTGCAACTGATCGATGAAGGTATTGATTAGCTACTAATAAATAGCCCTCTAGCACTAATACATCTGTATCAATCATTATTATAACTAACAAGTTGATTGATTAGTCACTAATAATTAACTATCAATCCATAATAGAGTTTTACTGATCATTATGGCAAATGATCAATAAAGGCAATGATTAGTCATTAATAATCAGTCATCAGTCCTTATTATGATAATATAAATTAGTAATATCCCTGACCAACAAAGGCATTGATTAGTGACTCATAATAATTAATTATCAGTAAATAATGTATTAATATTATTCATAGATTCATAGATTCTAGGACTGGAAGGGACCTCGAGAGGTCATCGAGTCCAGTCCCCTGCCCGCATGGCAGGACCAAATACTGTCTAGTGGCAGGACCAAATACTGTCTTAATAATCGATTAAAGTATTGAAAGGTAACTAATTAGAATAGACAGCCAATCATATATCGTTATTAACCATTATTATAAACTATAAACAATGGCATGGATTAGTAACTCATAATAATTAGTCATTGGTAAATAATTTATTAATATTAACAATTGATTAAAAGTATTGATAATTAGCTATTATAAACAGCCTATCATATATCGTTATTAACCATTATTATAAACTATAAACAAAGGCATTGATTAGTCAGTAATAATTAGTCATAGTAGATTAATGTCATTATTATAATTGATTGAAGTTATTGATTATTTACTAAATAATTGATCACCAATTAATAACACAGCTTCATATTTCATTATTACAACTCATTAAGAAATTGATCAGTTGGTAACTACTAATAAAAATCAGTTGATATCAGTTTTCATTTCCACTGATCAATAAAGGCATTTATTATCCACTAGATATTAATCACGTGTCCATAATGAATCATTAATCAGCATAATAATCCTGGCTTTAGGGTTTATTTTAACCAGTCACCCAAAACACGAACACATTTCTTAATATTGCAGCCAACAGAAACTCAGCATTATTTCAGTGTTATTAACACTATATAATTGACCAAAATTCATGTGTTATTTTTAGACTAATTAATAAACAGCAGATTACCATTCCATTCATATTTGCAGTGCGAGTCCATTCTTAGGCCCTGATTGTCCACTCTCTGGGGCAGGGACCAGGGCCGGCTCTAGGATTTTTGCCGCCCAAAGCAAAAACAATTTTGGCCGCCCCCCCCCCCGCCCATTTTTTAATTACCCCACCCCCGGCCCCGCCTCAACTCCGCCCCTTCCCCAAATCCCCAGCCCTGCCTCCTCCTCCCAGGCTCTCAAGCCTAGGAAGGAGGGAGGGAGGGGAGAAGCGGCACCCGCGCCGCGGCCACTCGGAGTCTCCCCCTCCCTCCCAGGCTCTCAAACCTGGGAGGGAGGGGGAGCAGTGGCGCGTGAAACGGCTGTTTCGCGCGCCGCGGCCGCTCGGGATCTCCCCCTCCCTCCCAGGTTTGAGAGCCTGGGAGGGAGGGCGAGAAGCGGCGGCCGGGGCACATTTTTTAGGGGCGGCATTCTGGCGCCGGCCATGCCGCCCCTAAAAATGTGCCGCCCCAAGCACCAGCTTGTTTTGCTGGTGCCTAGAGCCGGCCCTGGCAGGGACTCTCTGATCCGTGTGTGCGGCTCATGGACCATTGTTCTAGTGCTACCGT